ATTAAAAGAAAACTATGGTGAGGATGTCTCCGACTTTGTCCGAAACAACTTCTATGTAGACGATGGTCTACTCTCTGTATCTGATGCTGGATATGCCATTGATATCCTAAAGAGAACCCAGGAGGCACTATGGGAGGGCGGTCACTTGCGCCTGCACAAAATTTCATCTAACAGTCGAGAGTTGATGGAATCCTTCCCCTCTGATGATCTCGCCGAAAGCCTCAAGGATCTCAGCTTTCAGGCAGATAACGTACCGCTTCAGCGTAGCCTGGGCATCTTCTGGAATGTCTCCTCAGACGCCTTTACCTGCAAGGTGTCGGACGAACCAAGGCCATTCACAAAAAGAGGACTTTTGTCATCCATCGGCAGCCTCTACGACCCACTAGGTCTTCTAGCTCAAATCACTATCAAAGGGAAGATGTTCTTGAGACACATCATGAATCTCACCATTGCTTGGGACGATCCACTACCCTGCAATTTAGAAAAGGAATGGCAACAATGGAGGTGTTCACTAAAACACCTGGAAGACATCAATATCCCTCGATGCTATGGGACAGGAATCATGGGAAAGGCAGCGAAGGAGCTGCATGTATTCTCAGATGCTTCCACAGAAGCAGTTGCAGCAGTAGCGTTTTTACGTACCGTCAGTTATGAAGGAAAAGTAGAAGTCCCACTTGTGCTTGGAAAAGCTAAACTCGCGCCCTCCGGAGGACACACTATCCCCCGTCTAGAACTGTGCGCAGCTGTGCTCGCAACACAAATCAAGGATACCGTTATCGCAAACCTTGGAATTGACTTTGACAAAATGACCATGTACACAGATAGTCAAATAGTCTTGGGCTATATCTTCAATTCGACTAGGCGCTTCTATGTGTACGTCGCCAACCGCATCCAGAGGATAAGAAACTCTACTCAACCCGAGCAGTGGACATATATCAACACAAATCTTAACCCGGCTGATGAAGGGACTCGATCGATCCCAGCTTCGCGGATGCCAAAGAGCCTTTGGTTGAATGGGCCAGAATTTCTTAAGGAGTGCCCTGATGTAATCTGCAACAACCCACAGGTAGAGTTCCCACTCATTGACGCGTCATCAGACAAAGAGATTCGGCCGGAGATACAAGTGGCCAAAAGTTCTGTATCAGACCAAGAACCCTTTGACGCTACTACACTCTTTGAAAAATACTCAGAGTGGGATTCTTTTTTTTTTTTTTTTTAAGTTTAGAAAAATATTTATTCCCTCAGCAATTAATTTGGAGGAGGCTGCCAGGGTTGAGGAGCCCTGGGATCAGCCTTCGCACAGATAAGTGCCATCACGCAGGATGCCTCTCATTCATCATACAAACACACTTCCATGTAGACACTTACATGTAGCCATTAGAAACAATAAATATTTTGGTAAACCTAATATAAATAGACAGACATAACAAGTAGAAATATTTACATAAACAACAAAACATGGTAAACAAGCAGGACAGACATACAAATAGGTTGTACAAGTGACATTCTAGACAAGAGATATCAAACAGATAGACTAGATAATAGACATAAAACAAAAAAAAAAAAAAAAAACAAGAAAAACAGTGTAACATAGTACAGTGCTAAAAAAATGTGATACTTATCTATTTTGATTTTTTTTTTAGGAAAGGAACAGGAGTGTTGACTATCATTACTAAGTAAGCAGCCAGTTGAGTATCCAAAATTGATTGATCTTAATATTAAATAACCAATATTTTTCCAAAAGCATTTAAAGAATTCAACTGTAAATCCATCTGAACCAGGGCTTTTGTTATTTTTCATTTTCTTCAAAGTCGCAGCTGCCTCATGATATTGAATAGGTCCTTCTAACATATTACATTCTTGATCATTCAATTTTGGAATCTCAACATCTTTTCTAAAAATTGTGTTTAAATCAACCCTCTCTGTATTATCATAACGATCATATAAAGATTTATAGAATTTGGTAATTTCAATTAAGATACCATCTTGGTTTGAAATAATTACTCCATCATCTTTTTCTATTTTAGGTATGATTTTATTAGTAAAATTTCTTTTTTCTAGGTTTTTCCCCATCCTCTATCCATCTTGCCTTTGATCTGATAATACTACCCTTAAATTTCTGTTTTCTGCTCTTTTCTAAGTCAGCCTTTTTTAACTCTAAGACATCTAATGGTATATTTTCCCTAGCCTCTAGCTCTGCTATTTCTTCCCTTAGTTTATTTTCTATTTGACCTCGTTCCTTTTTCTTGAGGAGTATGAGATAGTTTTCCCCCTAATTTCCATAAGTAGTGTTTCTAAAAATAGCTGATCATTTATTATAAAGTTTATATCATTATCATGTATTTCATCAAGTTTAGCAAAATTATAGACTGGTATAGCGTATTGTTTTTTTACTTCATGTATTGTTGATTTTACAAGGTCTAAATATTGAAAGTCTTCTAAGAGTGAGTTATTAAATTTCCACAGACCTTTCCCCTTTTTGAAATCATTGAATTTTATCTTCATTATTGGCATTGAATGGTCAGATCTATAACTAGGTTCTATATTTACTTTCTCAACACTAGATAATAGGTTTTCCGATATTAAAAAAAAATCTAAACGGGCTTGTTTCCTAGGGTTTAGTTTCCTCCATGAGTATCGTTTTCTATCCGGGTAATGTTCTCTATACACATCTGTAAGATTATAACTCTCCATAATTTGTATTACCTTATCCCTAGACCTTGGATTATTGATATGCTTATAATTTTCATAATCTATGCTTGGTTTTAAAACTAAGTTGAAATCCCCACATATTATCTCTGATTCGTTACCGAAATCCTCAATAGTGTCTGCTATGTTTTCAAAAAAATTTGGTGTATCTGTGTTTGGAGCGTAAATTGTAATAAGTGTAATCTGTTTTCCATCAATAGCTATATCCAATGCCAAAAAATTCCCAGTATCGTCTTTTTTCACTTTAAAAACTTAATGTTCAAAATTATTATTTAACAATATTGCAACCCCTCTTGAGTTAGAAGAAAAGGAACTAAAAAAACAATCATATCCCCATTCTGACCTTATTCTATTTTCAATCTGATGCGTGAAATGTGTATCTTGAATACAATAGATCTTGTATTTTTTACTTCTAAAATATGAAAAAACGTCTTTTCTTTTATCCTTATTCCCAAGGCCCTGGCAATTAGCTGAAAGTATATAAATTGTATCCATATTCAATAATGATAGTTTTAATTACTGATTGCTTACTAAAGAGAAAGAACATAATCTTGAAATGTTTTAGAGAAGGTAAAGAAAATTCAGCACTGACACATGTTACAAACATAAATAACACAAAAGAAACAAACATAAATAACACAAAAGAAACAAACAGATTATAACATCCAATACTTATCAAGAGTGACTCCCTCATAGTTAAGCCTGCAGCTATGTTAAACTATGACAATTTAAGGTTTTATAATAATGCATTTGTACTGTACAGGATCCGTACACTTCATGTGCGAAACATATCTCTCAGACTACTAAGATATCAAAAGTTATTTTTCATTAGTATTTAAGCAAAGGGCATACGTCGGAGACTAAACATCAATATTAAACCCCCATCATGCTAATCGCATCAATGGATAATTGATGAGCAGATACCAGAGAGCTTGAGATATCCTGTGTTTATACATATACATTATATATTACAGGGAGATGCTAACATTTTAATACAATGCCTTTCTAGGATTAATCTGGGTTATTAGTTGCAACTAAACTCCCTTTGGTAGTTTATGTATCCCTGTAACAATTATGTTCATAGCATGATAGAGGTTAAAGAAAGTGCAGTCCAGAAGCACACATGCACGTATATTAACCACACGTGCGCCCGCCCACAATCAACATTCCCATCTACATAAATAGCAACCATCAGAACAACTTACAGAAAGAAATATTTTAACATGTAGACAGAAACAGCAAATCAACGGACACGCGCTCATGTAGCCAATAATATCAGAAGGATTTCTTTTAAAAACACGGTATATAATGTCAGTTTCACAACATAAATACATGTACATTTGTGAGCGAAAATGGTAATAAAGTCATGTGTAGCTAGAGGGTACAACAGGAATTATTAATATTTTTTTTACAATGATACATTTTGTGTTTAATTGATTTATATACGGAGATCAGCTAATTATATGTAAATCAATAATTTTGAACTTTATATGGATTATATATAGGGTCGTCATATTTCATGTGGTTGACGAAGGGGTGATGGTACATGCATTGGACATAGTGATATGGCAAATTTAAATAGCAGATTCAAGTGTAAACAAACATACAGTCTTTGGAACATAAACTTTCAACTTACTATGTTCCTGTTACTTCTTCAGTTTGTCGTCAAGATTGTCATAAATATCAAACATTTTCCGTTCTCCTTTCACAGTTTTACCATACACTCGCGAGTTGAAATACCATGCAGATTCAATACGCTCGTCTTCATACAGTCTGTGTATAAGTTCAATATTGAGTTTAGTAACATCCTCGCGTATGTTGTAAGTTAGTCTCAAACTTTTGTCTTTACGAGCCTTCATCACACGGTGTTTAATGTCATTACGTGCAAACTTCACAAGCACTGGTTTGGTTTTGTTGGTGGTTTTGCCTGGGATCCTGTGACATGCTAGTATTTCCCATGGTTTGATCTCAATCTTAGCTTCCTGCTTAAATTTCTCACAGAAGGCTTTCTCTAGGTCTTTGTCTGGTATCCTGTCATCCATGTTCATTACTTTTATTGATGTTTTCCTACTATATTGTTCATTATAATTAGCCATGGACATGGCCTTTTCTGCAAGTTTATTTGATGTGTTCACCTTTGTAGTAGAAGTCTGTATTTCTTTTCTCTGTTGAACCACCATTTCTTTCAGCCTTTCGTTCTCCATGTTCAGTCTATCTAATTCTTTCCGAATCACACTAGTTTCTTCTCTCACTTTCACATGGATATCTTTTGTTATAGCCTCATGGAAATTATGGAGTAATCCATTAACAATGTCTGTCACTATCACTTTGAGGTCCTCAGTTTCACCATTGTTTTCATAATGGTTTCCAACTTGTTGTTAATATCCTCTATCTCAAGGACTTGGTCTTCACTGTCAGTACTATTGGTGACTATTCTAGATCTTTTAATGGGTTGCCGGGTAGTGCTAGAATCCCTGGTCAAGTCTTGCTGGTTTTCCTCACTCATGGTGAACAGGTAAAGTACACTGTCTCTTTAGAGGTGTTAGCTATACAGGTAGGTATAATCCCTGAACACAACTCAGCACTGCCCAATTCCACAAAGGAATTTGCATAAAAACACCAAATTGCAAACTTTCCGGATGGAATTATGAGTCCAATGTAATATATGTTATCTACAGTGATGTTCTAAACAACTTCATACCAAAATCAAGAAAATCCATCTGATATAAACCAATAAAAGTTACCAAAATTGTCAGAGCCACAAACTACACACCACTCAGGTGAGCTGCCATCAGTGGGATTCTCTTATCCGAAGCATCTCCTACCTCATTCACCTCGCCAGATCATTCAAATCTTCCTACAAAGCCTGCAAAGGCTGGCATAAGTGTTCGGAACACAAAGAACAAAGCGCCAAGGAAGAGGCAACACGTTTCATTCTCCTCCATGTCCAGAGGAAACACTTTGCTAAGGAAATCGAATGCCTTAGAGCTCATAGGAAACTTCCACGGGACAGTTCCATACTCACCTTGACTCCCTTCCTCGACAGTCATGGGCTACTTCGCGTAGGAGGTAGATTAAACAAAGCTCCCAGATCCTGCCAGGCAGATAACCACAATCCAATTATCATCCCGAAAAGGTGTCACATCGGCCTCCTCATAGTCCGCCGCTGTCATGTTAAAGTTCAGCACCAGGGCAGACATCTTACAGAAGGGTCAGTTAGGTCTTCAGGGTACTGGATCTTGGGCGGAAAGAGGCTGATCTCTTCGTGCATCCACGAGTGCGTTACCTGCCGTAGACTCAGAGGCAAACTAGGAACTCAGAAAATGGCTGATCTTCCTGTCGCTCGCATAACGCCATCCGCTCCATTCACCTACGTTGGCGTGGACGCATTCGGACCTTGGCAGGTGACAACCAGGAGAACCAGGGGAGGCGCTGCTAATTCTAAGCGCTGGGCAGCTCTCTTCACCTGCCTGTCTACCAGAGCCGTCCATATTGAGATCCTTGAGGACATGAGCGCAAGTTCTTTCATCAATGCATTACGCAGATTCACTTCGGTTCGTGGGGATGTACGTCAGTTTCACTCCGATAGGGGAACTAACTTTGTTGGCTCGACCGACAGCCTGAAAATTGACGCCATAAACGTCGAGGATGGTATCGCCAAGCGACACCTCTACCAGACTGGCGTCACCTGGATCTTCAACACTCCCCTCTCATCCCATATGGGTGGGGTCTGGGAACGAATGATTGGGATGGCCAGACGTATCTTGGATTCCATGCTGCTTGAACCGAAGAACCGGCACCTCACTCATGACGTCTTGTCGACACTTCTGTATGAGGTAGCAGCTATCATCAATAGCAGACCTATTGCGCAGGTGTCATCAGATCCGGAGTGCCCCAGTATTCTGACTCCATCTACACTGCTTACCCAAAAGGCTGGTGTTCCACACGAACCATTCAGCGACCTGACTCTTAAAGACATGTATAAAGCACAGTGGTCATCGGTTCAAGTGCTCGCAAACGAGTTCTGGACGAGGTTTTCTCGCGAATACCTCGATCAGCTGCAAGTAAGGCAGAAATGGCAACATGTCACAAACAACTTGAAACCCGACGACATCGTACTGCTGAAGAACGCTTGTGTTAACCGGAGGCAGTGGCCCATTGGGCGCGTTGTGAAAGCATTCCCCAGTGATGACGGTTTAGTGAGAAAGGTCGAGGTTAAGGTCATCCGGGAAGGTAGCCCGACAACGTTTGTCAGGCCTGTGTCAGAACTCGTTTACTTATTCAGTTGTTCATAAATGGGAACAGATGTTTCCGGACGTCAGTGGTAAAGTGACCGCTTCGTATTAGTGAAATTAATTATCGCTTATTCCCATTTGATGAACGTTTGAACATTGTTTATGATTTACGAAACGTGAATCTAGTCATATGAGACTATTAAAACCGATCATGGTTATGTGCTTCTCGTACACCTTCATAGATATTGCTAGAGCAAAGGGGAGGGAGTGTGCCGTCATACTTTCCGGGTTCTCCGTCAATCCGACTCCCTTTTTAGCCTAGCCTGTTTACTTCCGGTCATGAAAACGAAACTACCACACCATGTGTTTTTTCCCTGAATGTGATAGTCTTTACGGATCGCTATAGGGTAACTAATTAATGAAACCCAACACATAATATTGCAAAATGTTCACACTTTAAGATAACTTTGTTTTGTAGCGTGAAAACGTGATTCTCAGTTTTGAATACCTTTCAAGTGTTACTGTACCATTACTCGTGACCCTGTGTTAGTGTAGGACTACACGTGTAACCTTTATTTTGTACATTTGTCATTGTAGTTTCCACTCTGACTCAGGGTGAGCCAGTGTCTGCAATAAATTCCTGAAAGTTGTTTGCACAAACCAGCTTCACGATCGTCCCTATGATAACATAAACCAACCAGCTTCACGATCGTCCTTATGATAACATAAACCAACCAGCTTCACGGTCGTCCTTATGATAACATAAACCAACCAGCTTCACGATCGTCCTTATGATAACATACATACAACCAGCTTCACGGTTGTCCTTATGATAAAATTCATACAACCAGCTTCACGATCGTCCATATGATAACATAAATACAACCAGCTTCACGGTCGTCCTTATGATAACATTAGAAAAATTCTAAATTCCATTTTGTGTACTATGAACGAAGATTTGATTGTCCGCGTTAGTTAATCATTGATATACACTATGTTAGATTAGTTGTCTGGTGGCTTGGTGTTACATATACATTGTATATACATTAGTGTTGTACCTACATCTCAGTACAGGATCGACCTATGATGATGGCGAGCCTCGTCGTTGAAGTAAAAGACGCTTGCCCGTCTATATCACATGGTCTTATATACACTTCGTTAGGTTGGTTGTCTGATGGTTTGGTGTTACATATACATTGTATATATATTAGTGTTGTACCTACATCTCAGTACAGGATCGACCTATGATGATGACTAGTCTCGTCGTTGAAGTAAAAGACGCATGCCCGTCTATATCACATGGTCTTATCCTTCTTACACTTGTATTTTCCCATGATCTCGGTGTAAATCTTTATCTTGTTTATAGTTTTAGCTTGACATACGATTTTATTCATATATCGGTATTCTCTTGTTCCTTTTTTCATTTTTTAAAAAATAAACAAACAATATTACAACGCATGTACGAAGTAATAATCATTTCTAAGTACAAAGGGTCCAGTTTGCTCATCATAAAAAATTCTCAAGCAACATTGGCAATGTTCTTATCATTCCACACTTGTAGATTTGCTGAGATAGTTCAGATTGATGTTTTTGAGTGTCAATTTCACTTTGAAAGTCCTTTTTCAGTGGCAAGATTTTTACTTGGACACAAACCAAAGCTTAAGTCTAACCAAGTATGAAGCAAGTGGGGGCAGATAATTTCTGACTCCACCATAAAGCTTTACATAGACGGAAAACTGTTCTCGAAACTCAACATGAACTAATTACTTTGTCAAAGTAAAACAGAACAAGATGTTGAGAGTAGTGAGTATCCAGGGTACTACGTATTTAACTATGACAGATATTGAAGCGATCATATCACTAAAGAGTATATTCTCTTGATAACTTCTGGGAAATGGACGTTAGGATATACCCTATTGTCACCGGACAGATTCATATTCTACTATAAAAATCTGATTGTGTAGGTGTAGGTAAAGAAAACATCAGACAAGTAAAATTTCCTGTTTTAGATTCGTTGTGAGATTACAAGCAGAATTGTACTATGCTCCTACAATATTTCAACCTGAAATATGGGAAGGGCAAAATAATAATTTTCACAGATCATAATCCTACCCGTCGATTCTGTTGGACTTGAGTCTACATAGATCACAGCGGGACATCTCTTCACACTTAACCCGCGCACTCTCTCCTTTGTTTAGTTATTTGTTATCTAAACAAGAATATCGCGTGTACAAACGACGGTCTGATAAAGCAATAGGATATCCGTGTGGGACAAAATTCGGGAAATATCAATCATCGTATAAATGTAAACTATACGCTGTTTTAGCTGTTTCAGTATGGAAATTTGTCTTTTTTTGATGGTCCAGGTATTCTCTGTTTTTAACTTAAATTGAAACAAAAAGATGCGTGTTTTTATTGCACTTATTCTTTTTGGATTCTTTTCCATCAATATTATTTTCGTGATCTTGTCCTAAAAATCCGCGAAAAATATTAAACCCCGCGATTATTCCAAATTTGAATGTGTTTATACAAACGATGACGTGGAAACAGGTGCTGACGTAATTCTCACTAAATCCTCTGATAATACATGTCCGACATGTACAGTGACAACTAATGAGGTATATATAGGTATGGTGGTTCAAATGTAAATGAAATATTATACATATATTCTAAAAAATTGATGGAACTGGCCCAGTTAGCTGGGTAATAATGAATTCAAGACAATATCTATTTGACAGATCACAATTGTTAACTGTGCTTTTTAGATAAAATACAAAATGAACCGTCTGCAGTTTTAGTCTAAGAAAGTGCAATAGCTATAGGCACCATTTTCAACACCTGAATTGTAAAAGAATTTATAATGAGAATAGTGATATAAATTGTGATCCAACTCATCTGTATTTTAATTAAAGGGATTCGTGGTTGGCTAGATCACTATATTAGACAAGTAAAATACAGCAATTTCTAATTTCTACGGCAGCATTATCATAGAGATTAAACAAATTAATCTTCCGTCGGTAGTTCAATTTTCTCGGTCTTATGCAACTCGTATGATTTACGCTCGAAGGTAACACGAACTTACAGCCTTGATTTCTTATTTCAAATTTTTTATCAGGTTTCTCAACTTCTGTTTGTCAACTTAGCTAGTAATTACGATCAAGAAAGTCGTGTACACTTTATGTGACGGTGACAGGAAACACGTATGAAAGAAATGACGATATTTTGTTGTGTATTACAGATATGTTCTGTAACATTTTAATAACAATATCCATCAAGTTGAAGAAGATATATCAATTGCTCAAAAATAAGAAATATTGTTCAATCTCGATAAGATATGCCCAGAAATATTGGAAAGGGATTTCCTGATACTTTGACGTGGTAATTAGAAATTTCTTCTTCAGATAACAGTTAGGGTACGCAAATAAGTTAACTTACATCTGTATACTCCAACATTCCGGTCCTGGAGTGGCAATACATTTTTCACATTTTATTTGTTTTCAATACGTTTAAGATTCATGTGAAAAATATATAAATGTTGCAAAGAGTCATTTCAAAACAGGCAAGTGTTGTATTCGATGTGAATTATACATACATGTATGTTTGTAAATGAAAAAGCGAAATGAAATACCGACATATCATAGATCAACGAGATTAATACATGAACAAAATAAAAAAAAATACATTGACCATTGAAAAAAGCAAAGAGAAGATACCAGGTCTGCCGGAAGGGGAAGCGTCCTCTGCTTCATCAAAACAACCGCGGTGTAAATTTTGATCATTTCAGGTAATTAACGAAACTTTTTCAAATGAAAGCATAGCCAGCAACAAAGAAATCACCAGGCACGTAATGAACATTACACGCTTCATAACACACGGGGAGATACCATAATTCTAATTATGGAGACCACCATAGAGATGCAGTGTGTGAGTCTAAGGAATAGACATGAAGAATATACTCCGCACTGACGTTAATTGACATATCCATTACAACTATGCAAACCCGTTTTTTTTCTATGGAAAGTAATGCCCGATGTCTTAATATTCCTGTTGTATGTTGGTATAAAAGTGGCGAGACTTTGGCGAGCGTTTTTTTTTGTCTCTGTTTACGAGACGAAATAAATCTGGTCTTTTATTGTCTATACTTATAGCGATGTAATATCAGCTACCATGTTTATAGCAATAAAATGCTTAAGTAAAATAATGATTACAACAAAATCTTACCATACATTCAGACCCAACTGCAATATTTAAAACATGCAAAGATTAAGGCTTATTACAATGATTATAATGATGAATTAACTGTCATATATATTATAATTAAGACGGTCGTTATTGATTAGTTGGACTACAGGTAATTGTTGTATAATACAATGATTGTACCTGCTCCACCCATGAGTGTAGGAAGTGACTAGGGATATATTTTTCCCTTCCCTCTAAACAGCCAAATTTTTGCTTTCATCACTTTTGGTTATGCGCGTTCGCCCTTGTGAAGAGGACTTTGTTCCTTTCTTACATTGTAAATTGATACTACACTGGAGAACTTTTCAACAACAACTTTGTTATGTAAATGAAAAAGATTTGAACAATAAAAGAAAGCGCAGAATAAGTCTAATCGGCACAACCTCTGGATTAACCGTTTGTGTAATCAGTAGAAATAAGGAATGACTTTTCATGACACATACTTGTTTTGTTCATGCAGCATTCCTTTTGAACATTTAGATTGAAAACATCGAACTTATAGTATATTCAACAGTATTTATTAATTCGTTTAATCAATTCAGTTATATAGTACAGGACCTAAACTAACGCGAACTCGCGGTAGGTGAAAAATACGAGAAATCACGATGAGAAAACAATTGGCTGAAATGGAATGTAAAAGAAATAAAGCAGGAAAGAGGGAGCGAATTCCACTAAGGATAAAGAAATCAAGTTTCTTCTCCTCTCAATTCTTCAACCAATGACAAACTTTGTAGAAATCACAAGGCCCCTTATTTCATTTAGATAAGAATGTAATAATTTTTTTTTATCTGTTAACTCAATACCGATACAGACATTTTTAT